AGCACACGAATGACACAATGACATATATAAATTACATAAAGACACACATATAAACAACAATACTTTAACTAGACAAAATGATACAGTCAAGTATGACTCTTTCAAAAATATTTTGTACATTCCTCTTGCTTTAATTGCTCCATCCTTCAGGTTCTTCTACGTCATTCGAACCGAATATGTTTTTCCATTTCGTTTCATTGTTTTCACTATATGATGAACAATCATCGACTAGAAACGTTAACAAATCATTCCAAGTGGACGTCTTGGCTGTTTCGGATTGCAAATAACCAACATTAGATTGTTGACTCCATTGATACTGCTCGGGAATTAATGATGACGAAGTACGAGTGTCAATGAACGATTTTGCTGACGATGTATTCATCCACGATGGCAAACCTGTTGAATAATCACTAACTAGAGATGGTGTTATCGATGCAGAGTTATCTAACACGCTCAAATTCATGGTTTTCGGTTCTAAATAACCAACATTATACTGTTGATTCCATTGAAACTGCTCTGGAATTAATGATGAAGTCTGAATGCCAACGAACCGTCTGCTTGACAATGGTCGAATAATTGGATCATTTTGCTAAAACAAAAATATCTTTCTAGGAAGATAATTATAACGATTTCGAAAGAAGATCACTAGAAAAGGGCGGATCATAATTTTAACACCTCCAACAATGTTGTTCGCTTTTCAAATGCATAAAAAGCAGTTTCTCTACTTAAACTTCTTAAAAAACTTCTGCGTCTCTTGTATTCTGAAACAATCATTCTTATAATTAAGAATATAAAACGGGCTGAGAAAAGCATGTACATCATTTACACGTTTATTAATATTTCTAAAGCGCTTGTACGATCTTGATTTTGATGCTGTTTTCTCAGCCCGTAGGTTGCTCGTCGTGAACCGATGAGTGTTTTAATGGCGACAAATTGACAGAAATTCACCAAGGACTTCGATGAAGAGAGTGCATCAGTTATTGGTTCCAGTTACTTCTTGAAGTTTTTATTGCTCATGGATAATGCGGATGTGGAAAATGCACGAAAAGATTTAGTCAAGTATTGTAAAGAAGTTTATGAGGGAAACGAAACTGAGCTGCAACTGATAAGAGGCTGTACATTTAAAATATCTGCATAAAATTGTTCTTCTTTCTTTTCCATTCTGAATAAAAAAGATAAAAATTGCACGCTTTTTCGTTCGAAGTAGAAGGGGAAATGATAGACTTTCTGTGCTTAGATCGTCTTTGAACACATCCTGAAGAGTTTGAGAGTAACAGATAAAGCAATTTGGTGGTATACACGTGAAAGTTTTCTCTGTCGAGTTCTGGACAAATTGCTTCGAAGTCAGAATATCAAGAACATTGACAGTATTTTTAATTTTCGATCAAGCATAATAAACAATCAAAATAAACTTGCTTGGTTTGCTATCCCGATACCGTCTCTTATCACCGTTTACTCATAAAACCATTTCAAGAGATCTGTCTGAGATTATTGTCTACCTTCTTTTATTCAAGATAAAATTTTATCATCATCACTCAATTTGCAATGTCCTTAAATAAATTATAATCAACAAACTGATTATAACTCGCTCCTTGCATGTTAGAAAAAATGTGGGTGACGATTATT